TTGGGCGAGTAATTTTCTCTGGGGTTAGGGGTTATGTATTCGTATAAATTCAAGCCTTTAATTGGGAATCTATGGCTTTTACTAATCCAAGAGTCTTGCATTCTGTTTTAACAATTTTCCGGACATTATTTGAAGAAATGAACTGTTTTAGAAGTGAAATTGAGAGGTGTATTCGGCCACAATTTTTTGAAACTATTGAAAACATCACAAAGCACCACACTGAAACACTCTTGAGAATGATGCGATTGATTTGTCTGGTCTCTTGGTGTGTGCGTACTCTTAAGAACGTCATTTTGCCTCTTCGTTGATAGTCTTATTGTAATTGTCTTCAACCAGTCGTATTGGCTAACATACTCGATTTTTTGACTGCTTATTCGGTTGTAAGGGGAGAAAACAGAGTTGTGAAATCGTGAACAGGAATTGATTGGTCTTGTCAGAAACATCTGATAAAACTCGATGCTGTGCTTTTAGAGAAAAAAACGTAGGAAAGTGTGGAATTGACATTTTAGTATTGAATGCAAAATCAAGGCAATTTTTCCATGTTCCAAAAACTGAACGACTTGTTAGTGTGCAGTAGCATACACATATGCTGCTGTTATTGTTGTTGTGAATTATGATGGTGATGAAGGGCAATACTGATAGTATTCATAATGGTAGTAATCATCAGTAGTGATAGTAATAAAAGTAGCAATGAATTCATAGTACTTCTAACATTAACGAAAAAAATTCACGATAATAAATTCCATAGAAGTAACAATAACAAAATTGATGAGAAGAGTAACTGTAATCGTATCCTCAGATTAAGTATGTCTAAGCTAGATAGTGAGTCTTGAGCAGTTCATTATATGCAGAAGTTTGTTTGACATATTGTTTTTTGCAACTCAACAAAGTGTTCATAGTCATAATTGAGACGTTATGGTCATTGCAAAAGTAGAAGAGAACCAGCTCAAAGTAATAAGCAAATAAGTGAGTCCTAATAGTCTGCATATTAAACCAACAACAACTTCGATCATTCCTATAGACTACTTCACTCTTATAAACCTCTATTATTACTGCAAGTGACCAGTAGTTGTTAGTCAGTGGTCATTCTGAGTAAATTGCTCATGAGTGAGGTGCAGAATAAGGGGGGAGAGGGTGGCATCCTGCTGAGTGAAACGCTTTTCAATCGACTTCAAGAGATTAAAAGATTTAGCGACTGGATTGACGCGTAATCAAATTATACCAGAGCTAATCCGCTTAGGAAAATCAGCAACATATTATTGCAACCTTATTTGTGGTTATTAATGGGGTAGCTGATGAAAGACCGCGTGAGTCCTCGAAATAATGACTCTTTAAGTCGAGAGTAAACAATGTTGCGTATGCTGAAAGTATGACAAACATCGTGTTTGCTTGAAATATTGAGCAATATATGAATAATTCATCATAGTACATGGTTATTTTGCATCATACGCATTAACATGTTATTTCGTATTGGTTTAAGCAGATTACAGCTTTAGTACATTCCTGAACAATAATGGGTGAGACTTGTTGAGATAATGATGGGATTCATTGTTTGGTGTGGTTTTGAGTTAATGATTTACGGAGTCGATTTTCGAGATATCCT